CCCTGAGCCTAAACCCCTAAACTGCCGTTTCAGGCGGCGCACTACTTGTGGCCGCCTGACACCGTTGTCCCGCCCGATCATCCGTCTTGGAAGGATGACAACATCCACGTCCTGCTTGAACCGCAACGTCATTCACCTGAGCAGGACTGGGGCCATGACATGGTTTGGCATCCGGGAGTCATCTTGCCAGCGATACGAAATGGCGAGTGGGTCATGGCCGTGGCAATCCCGGGCACGGGATGGGTGTCATACCCACGCGAGTCGAAGTCCAACTTCCTGCACCTCGCGAGGATTTCGGTCCTCGAGAAAGTGAAGGTCGAAAATGACACTTTAGCACCCGGCGACCTGTCCCTCATTTCCACTGCCGGTCGACTGTTTGACGAGCTTCAGGACAAGTGCTGGTTGGAATTGATGGAGGACTACTACGAGCTCGACACGAGTCCGTCGAAGGGCGTGGCGGACTGGAAAGTGCCCCCTCCCAGTGGGCCGGACGGTGGTTCCGGGGGGGGGTCACCTGGAAGCGGAGGGGATGGGGGTGGCGACGCAGGGGGTGGCAAAGGAATCCCGCCTATGGGGGAGAGAGGGTCTCACGGCCGCAACACGACACCGGGAGGCAGCGCTGGGGTGGCGGTTTCGCTGTCGACCGGACTCCGTCAACAGGCACCCGGCCCGAGCACACGACACACTCCACCGACCCCCAGACTTCGTCCGTGGGCTCAGCGAGGGACACGCTGGCAGCCTTGGTTGCTCTGGGCATTCGCTCGGCCGGAAAGCCGAAGTCCGCCGGGATCCGAATTACGTCGGGTGAGGAGCCGCCAGAGCGGTCCGGAATGCGAAGCTGCTCGGGGTTGGGGGATCCAAGCACGGATCGAGAAATTCGCAGCATTGCGGCGCAGGACGGAGACGTCGGAACGGTGTCGCCTGCGCGGGAGCGACGGCCGCAAGGATTGCAGCGGGAGACTGCAAGTGCAGGGTCCGGCGACACGGAGACCACGAAGTCCGCCGAGATCCGAACTTCTTCGGGCGGGGTTTGTCGGCCAGGGATTGTCGTGTCGTTGAGAGGGGCAGCGTGCACGGGGACGGAAGGGCGGTCCTCACGATTCGGCACGGGTACCGCGGAAGGGGACGAGTTTCGTGGGAGGGAAGTAGGGGAGGAAACGGAGGAACAGAAGGGAGCGCAAGAAGGCGAGGAAGAAGGGGAAGAAGAGGTGGAAGGGGAGGAAGCGGGAGAAACGGAGCTAATTGATTTGTTTGAAGGAAGGGAGGGTGTCGGGTCTGGAGAAGACGAAGTGGAACACACTGAGGACGATGCCGGTCGTCTGACGAGTTCGGACAACTGTACGGAGAGCATCACGAGGATGATGTCGACGACGATGCCACGACAATAGAGATGGAGACACAAGTGGTCAGCAGCCTTTCCACAGAGCCTGAAGATTATGCGGTCCGACCACTGACGTCTGCTGTCGACTTGCAACGTCGGTTCGACGAGGCTTCCGTCGCTATCAGCCCGTCTGAAAAAAGTCGACGTATAAGCATCGACGAAGTTATCGATGGTATCCTCGGCGACCACAACGTGTCTGCCCGTCCGTCCGCAACTGCCAACGTCGCATCTTCTGTGACAGCTGCCCTCGCTTCGTCGCCGCCGAAGTCTCTGGTGCTGGATCTGCCGTGCTGGTCATGGTCTGATGGTCTGTGTCTGTTTGTATGGTTTATGTCGTTTCTGTAGGTAAGTGGACATGGGTCGCTCAAAACGAAACTTGTCTCCGTCTGTCTCTGAGAAAGCACAGAACGTTGCATCGGGAGAGGACAAAAAAAAGAAGGCAGTTTGCTCGTCGTCGGACCCTATTGAGGGGCCGAATGAAAAAAGAAAGGAAAGTGAAATTCCATAGTTAACTCAAGATTATTTTGATGGGATTTTGTCAAGCCTTGGAGATATTAAGGGGGACGTGGTAGCACACCGCCTTAATGAACAGGCTTCAATCAATGAATTAAGGAAAGGATTGACGCGTTTGTCTGCCCGCATTCAGGTTTTGGAAAACTTAATGGCACACATGAAAGAGGCATTCATTTCTGTAAAGGCGATGGAGGAGGGGAGCGTTGTTGTGAAGGGGTTCGAACATGAAGGACATTCTGCAGGAAGGGCCGACTAGTCGACGTCAACTGGAGTTGACATGGGTAGGAGTGGTAAAAGAGAGGGAGGAAAGAGGAAGAGGGTGCAGGAGAATATGACAGGGGGCGAGGTCGAGAAGATGAGGGAGGAAGTGGCAGAGAGGGGGCCGGTTCGTTGTGATGACGAGCCTCGCAAAGACAGTCGAATCATGGGGATGAAGTTGCTGGTGGATTTGCAAAAACGGTTGGACGAACAAAAACAAGAGTTTGTGGAAATGAAAAAACAAATGGTATTGTTTAAGACTCGTTTGGAGGAAATAAAAAAAAAAGAAGGAAAGAGAAAGATGGAAGAGCCTAAGGGGGAGGAAGGAGAGGAGGCACAACTGCTGGCTGTGGGAAATGCAGAGTGTCAGCAGCAGGATGGGGACAGAGAGGAGCAACTGCGAGGAGAAGTGCAGGTGAGGGAGAAATCGGGTGACGGCGAAGGACACCCTCCTGCTGAGGGGAGTCGTGCAGGTGCAGGGGGGGAAAGGATATGTGGGGCAGCCGTGGTTAGCGAGCAGCAGCACGCGCAGTAGCCACCATCAAAATGTCACTACTGCAAGGCCGAAACTTCTCATGTCGCGCATTAATATCGTCTTTATGTGCAAGATAACCAATCTGGTTTGGTCCGTTGTGAATTCTTCGGTGACCATGTAGTATTTTTTGATCGTTGGGAATATGTGATCGATAAGTTCACCCCCGATGGGATACGGGCGGAACTATATCGCCGTATACTAGCTCCCATGTTGTTCAGCGGCCTGTTCGGGCATATTTTGTAAAGGAGGTAGAACAAATGTGCATAGCCTATATCACACGGGTAATACTCATGATGAGGTGCGACGATTCTTTTGTTGTTGTCAGATGTCGTCGTTCTTTGTGGAGATGACAATCGAGGAGCGAACATGAGTTGTAATTTTTTTTGTCTTAGGCTGGTTCAGTCGACATATATCGACGGTGGTTTTTTTTTTTTTTTTTTTTTAATATACTATGTTCGGTGTTGAAGTTTGAGTTTCAGTCTTTACGTGTTTCATTACGTCGGACGATGAGACCCCGCCGGCATGACATGACATTGTATGATCGCAACTTACACTGAGTTTTCACTAAGTAATGGTTTGCTTTGCCTTGCTCGAGCGGACGTGGCTATGGTGCAGCATTAGGCAATTTCCTTTGGTAAATGTGATAATGCTGCAGCAATGACTGCGGAGAGAGAGAGAGAGAGAGAGAGAGAGAGAGAGAGAGAGAGAGAAGACAAAAAACAAAACCTTCAATTGTTGACAACCAGTGTTAAAATCAGATTCTTGTTCATATTTTGCTTATCAATATGCGTAATTATTTAAAAAAAAGACAAGGAGCTGCTTATTCATCGAGTAGTTATTTTGTTCATAATGTTAAGACCAGTAATTATTTTGTTCATACTGTCATCATTAAGACGACATCCGAGTCCCCATATCAAAATTGATATATTCACAAAACAACATTCGGGTTCTCGTTGCCATGATGATGATGTTATGTTGAACGTAACATCGTTGTTGAGATGCAAATACATTCGTTTTTTCCTCTTCTTTTTTATTACCATCTACATTTCGGTTGTATCTACAAGATAGCACAGGGTCTACTTAATGAAGACCCAGGTGTTATCTTTTAGCATAGCTTCATCGGCCCTCGACATGGCATCACGACTCCTTTGTTACTTTTGATGAAATCTGCGATATAACACAAAATTGGACCCCGATCTGGATGTGGTAGGTAGCTGATGCACATGTATGTGACGACACACGATTTTTGAAGTTGTGGTTTTCATTTTTGATATGTACATTCGGGATCTGGTTTGCTGTTGGGAGGGAGAAAGAGGGGCGTGGTTTTTGGCCAGGTTTCGATTCGGAAATGGGTTTTGGGTTTGTGTTTCGATATGGGTCTCGATGTTTGTCAGGTTGTTGGTGTGGATCAGAGTCTTGGTCTGGGTGAGGGTCTCGGTCAGTGTCAAGGTCTTGGGTCAGGTAAGGGTCAGGGCCAGGGTGAGGTTCTTGTTTCGGGTCTGAGTTCACGGGACTCTCTTCTGCGACTTTGGATTGCGGTTCTAGATGGGACATAGGATTTAGACTCAGGGAGATCTAATCCGAACGAGGGCTATCGACTGACAATCTCGACTAAGACCCTGCACTGGGACTCTCGATTGGGGCTCTGACTGAGACTCTGATTGGGACTCTGAACTAAGACTTTAGACTGCGACTCTTGAACGGGACTCGACACCAGGTCTTTGGATTGGTACTTTGAACTGGTTTTCTAGAGTGGGACTTTGCACTAGGACTGTGGATTAACCCACATCAAGGTCTAGTTTTTTAGACTGGGACTTTGAACTGGGAGTGAGGACTAGCATTTTGTCAATACCCTGTATAACGGCACCGCCCCCCCCCCCCCCCCCCCCCCCTCTGCCTGCTAATCAATCCGAGCTCATTGTGAGGGTGTGTAGAACTATTAATGGAACACGGAAGAGTAGTCGGGATTGGGGCTCGAGACTCGGATCTAATACTTGGGATTGGAACTTCGATCGGGGACTTGAGACAGAAACTCGTGAATGGGTGAAGGGCTCGTGAGCCGGACTTATGACAGGGAACCATGAATCCTTTCACGCAAGTTAATTTTGATAAAATTGAGATACATAATGTTTTAACTTGAAAATTGACTGTAATTTCATAATTTTTTTATTTTTATCCTATCCTTTTCACCTGCAGAAAAGACTGTTAGTGTGAGAGCGCTCTCATGCGC